ATGGGGCCCTCAGAGGTCAGAATGGGGCCCGGAAAGACTGGCATGGGCCGGCGTTGGACCCCAGAGGTCAGCAGAGGGCCCTCAAAGGCCAAGATGGGCCCTCAGAGGCCGATGCGGGCCCTTAGAGGCCGGTATCAGGTCTTCAGAATTCAGTGCGGGGCCCATAGAGGCTAATGTATGTCCTTACAGGCCAGCATGGGGCCCTCAGAGGTCAGTGTGGGGCCCTAAAAGACCGGCATGGGCCGGCGTTGGACCCCAGAGGCCAGCGAAGGGCCCTCAAAGGCCAAGATGGGCCCTCAGAGGCCGATGCGGGCCCTTGGAGGCTGGCATTGGGTCTTCAGAATCCAGTGCGGGGGGCCTCAGAGGCTAATGTGGGTCCTTATAGGCTAGCATGGGGCCCTAAGAGGTCAGTGTGGGGCCCTAAAAGACCGGCATAGGCCGGCGTTGGACCCCAGAGACCAGCGGAGGGCCCTCAAAGACCAAGAGGGGCCCTCAGAGGTCGATCCGGGCTCTTAGTGGCCGACATCGGGTCTTCAGAATCCAGTGCGGGGCCCTCAGAGGCAATTAAAGGCTAGTCTTGAGACAGAAATGAGGCCACCAGAGCCTGTGTGAGGCCCTCAGCCGCCGGTTGGGCCCCTGAGACCGGTTTAGGGGCCCTAAAGGCCAGTGGAGGGCCCTCAGAGGTCAACGTGGGTCCTCAGCGGTCAATGTGGGCGCTTGACCGCCACTGAAGGGCCCTCAGAGGTGAGTGTATACCCTCAAAGACCGGTATGGGAGCTGTTAATAGCTGGCGTGGGTTTCTCGAGCCTCGTGACAATCGAATACGGGCCAGGGCCCCAATACGCCCATGGGGGCCCATCGGTTGTTTGGGGGGGGTGGCAAATGATATGATGGCCCCCCTGATTTGCCTTTGGGGGGGGGGGTCATGGCCCTGATGGCATCCCCCCCCCTGCGACCGCCACTGTATGAACACCCATCTGACAATGTCCCAAAGGATTCTAAAGGTAATCCTATAGGATATGCCTATTGGACACTTTCCTATAGGAGTCCTACAGGACACTGACTATCATATATATGATTCCTATAGGACTCCTTTCGCAAGCGTAACTTGTAGCATAGGGGTGGGTCTTCGCGCCAGATATACATGTGTGTGAAGCATGGGATCTTTGGAAATAAAAACGACGGATGATCACTGAGATTTTTGTTTGTGTGCGTATGTTGTAGTTTGCATGTGCGTGCCCGCAACAATATACACTATTTCACGCTCCTGCGTGGTGCCGTTCCGGCGCAAAACACCCAGATATGGATGACACTTTTCGTTTGTTACAGACGGACCTACAACTTTTTTATAATATGTAGGGGAAGTTGGGGCAATGCCGGAGTTGGGGCAAAGCCGAAATTCGAGATATTTCGAAAACCGTAAGACATGGATGCCACCTGTCAGTGATGCTCTGAAGCTTAAGTGACTACAATTATCGCATGTTTGTTACGAGTCGTCATTCGGAATACTTCGGCTGTGAGGGCGCCAAGAGCGTTTTCAAGGTACGCGTTCCTTGTACTACATGCGCCTTTGAAGCTGCATTTCTTACTCATTATGCTACCGTTTGTCTGGCCAATTCGGTCAAGTAATCTTCAGCATGTCTTTGCATAAGTGTGCTGCCTATTTGAAATTTATACGGCACGTTGAAAAGTTATGGGCCTGCAAATGAAAGTAGGTATGGCTGGCTGGGGTAATGCCAAAACGTGCAATTACGCACGTTAAAGCACGCTACGTGGACTTTACTGCTGTAGAATAGCAACGCGAATTTTTAGTCACACAAATTACACTTTCAACCGACACAACGGCCTGTTACCTATAAGGAATTATTTACCTGACATTTTCTTATTATATCACACAACTATAACTTCCAGTGTGCACCAAGCGTCCTCAAGCTCTTAAAACGCGTGTCAGCTTTGATAAATTCTGGATAAAGTTTGAGATAAAGTGGCAAAACATCAATGTCGGCATTCCCCGTAGATCATTTCTCCCATTTTCGGCTTTCCCCGCAGTCCGGGGCAACGCCGAAAAAGTCACTTCTTTGATATTTTTAGTTTGTGCGCTTAACGGTATGCGAATTCATCAAATGCGCCTGGTATGTTTGAAAGGCAAAAGACTGGCCTCTCGAATGACGCCAACAAGAATAGCTTATGTTGTCTACCTTGCGTGCTACGGGCGTCAGAAAAAAAGTATTCGGCGTTCCCCCAACTTCCCCTACACTAGTTATTCTGTATACTGTATTTGGTACAACCGTCAACAGAACATGACCAATTAATGACGCGGAGTCATATACGTACCTACATAGGTACCATCAGGTCAACTCATGCATACATGCTAAATGCAGCTACAGCAGCTTAAAACATTAGGAGGGTACATGTACCTACCCAGGACAAGGTTTGTGCCCACTCCACGGTTCCATCACTGCGTACACCAAATGCCATTTCAGTCGAGAACACCTAGATCTCGCATCTCGGAGACACGCTCTAATACTAAATGGTTGATGTAATAAGATTACATTTTCAGGCTATTGACAGGTTGGACCATTTATGCAGTCACTGTCGTTAAGAGCTATGTTATAATTCCTTTACCGTAACATGGAAAACACTAGTCCTGGTGGCGTAGTTAGTTAAGGCGTTGGTCTGCTATGCGGAGGGTCCTGGGTTCGATTCCCGTGTATGAATGGACCGCTGTTATTTACGTTTCCTATAGGATTCCTATAGGACTCCTATATAAAATTCCTATAGGACACCGAAAAAATACTATAGGACAGCCACTACGTTCTAACTTCTATAGGATGCCTAAAGGACTATGTAAAGGTCCTATAGGATTCCTATCACAAGTCCTATCGAACAACACGTCCTATAGGAATCCTATAGGTATCCTATAGGTATCCTATAGGTATCCTATAGGTATCCTATAGGTATCTTATAGGTATCCTATAGGTATCCTATAGGTTAGGGTGTGTCGTCAATCCAAAAATGATCTGCCGTTAGAATTATTTGGTGCCCTGATATGTTGCTAAATCATCTAGGACGATAATTCCCCTCAAAACTCCGTACTTGATGGCCTCTTCTGAAAAGTTTGTGTCTCCGTTCAGTCTCATTTGTATTAGTGGCGCCATCTGCAGAACAACATACGGCATATTGCGGAACTACTCCTTCTCATAAGTGGCGCTAGGTGGCGCTGAGTGCAAAACCTGTCCGACCGCTCCACGAACGCCGTTTTATGTCGTTTACTTGCCATTTCCGTGCTTATCAATATAATACTAATTAAATAGAACGATAGCAAACATCATGAGAGCCTGGCTCATCTGAATGCAGTACATGGTATCTCACAATGCCACGTATATCGATAGCTAACAAATGAAGCAACATTCACTACACTTCGAATCATCAATGCGAGATACGAGACAGGACCGAACTTTTTTTTCGTGAAAATCCTCGTACTAGATGGCATGTTTTGCGCTATAACTGTGCGTTTTTATAGATGCGTTTGAGGGGGCATTAGTTTGGGTGTGGGAACTTTTGATTTTTATTTGTCTTATTTTGTCGGAGTTGGATATTTGTTTGAACGGCATGGTACGCTGGTGCTGGTTGCGGGTTGTTAGAGCCTTTCTCATGGTTTGCCTTTATCGAACTCAAACACACCCTACCCTACCCTAACCTACTCATACCCTACCTTACTCATAACCTACACGTAGTTACCCTTCTCATACTCGATTAAAGTAATGTACCAAATTTGAGCGCAATCAGCCCAGCCGTTCTTGAGATATAAAAGCGGCGCGCTGCACGTGCGCACGCGCTAACTGAGACTCCAGATGACTTTTGCCAGCCACCTTTCTAAATTGTCCCCAACAGTGTACAAAATTAGAGCGAAATCGGCCCTGCTGTTCTTGAGATGTATAAGTGGACCCCTCACGTGCGCACGTGCAATCGATCCACCCTACCTGTCACACATGACCATACATCGTCAGGTGAGTGCCCCCTCCACCCACAGTCCAAGTTTTAGCTCAATCGGCCCAGTAGTAGCTGAGTTATTCCTAGTACAATAATGTGCTGTTTACTGGTAGGCGCTTATTTTCAGTGTTTGGAATTCCCCTTGGCGGGCGGTGCATTGCAGCCCATGCTTTGATAGCTATTGTCAAAAGTTGAATGGCCTGCCTGCCGAAGCCACCGATTCGATTTCGTCGAAAAATACCGGTAACGTTAACAAAACACGGTCGTATGTTTGAGTCATTTTCACAAAAGTTTATTGACTTTTCGATAATATTTTGGGTGGATATTGGTCAGAAAAGAATGCTCTTTCCGAATATGTAGGTTTCATAGCGATTGATCAGCGTTTTCAATACGTTTGATGTTGTAAAGGACAACGCGCTCCGCGCGAATCACATTTTCCAATTAATTTTTCGTTATTAAGGAAATGGTACGGATCATCACTTTTTATTTGTTTTCCTATCATTACACGTACATATGTCTGCAAAATGCTACAACACCGATTTCATTCCGTCAAGCCGTTTTCCAGCGGCATCGGTTTTCTTCCCACAATGCATGAAATCGGTCATTTTTTAACAACCGGGGGTATTGCCTTGCACGTGACGCGTGCTATACTATGAAACCATGTCAATACGCTAGGCCCATCTCTCCTCTATCCAGTGGTGGCAACCCGACCTCGCTGCGGCAATCTGTCGCCGAGTTTTGGGCCCGGGAAGTGGGCGCCGCAGGCCGGTTTTCGCCCGATCGTCGATTTGACCGTTTCCCGTGTTAACCCTATGGCGCACGCGAGCGCGTGCTGACGGCGCACCCCTGGCCCGATGACGCCCAAATTTTAATACAAAGGCCGCCCACGCCCACAGATTCGGCATGCCAAATTTCACGTCGCTACGCGGCGCCTTTCAGGCGCAATAAGACACATAAGGCATGACAGTCGTACAGACATGTTATAAATCATAATATAGATTAATCAACCACATGTAACATAAAATACATCAATCACTGCACCCGACGCAAACCGAAAGCCGAAACCATACACCAGACACCCACGTATGGGGTCTCATTCACGACATAATTCACGTATGAAGAAAACATCCTTTTACAGAATCGCAAAAACACGAAAATCTTCCGAGCATTCACGTAACGGTATGGCACTGCACTCTTAAAACCGGCCGAGCGGGGCGGGCGGGGGGGGGGGGTGGGGCGGCGGCAGCAGCGACAACCACATCACAGCGAGCGGCAGGGGCAGGCCCCGGCGGGTCGCAGCGGGCCAAGGCAGCGGCGACGGCAACTTCGAAGACACGGCGACAGGACCGAACTGGCAGTCACACGAACGGGTGACAGTGATCACTGAGCAGTTCAGCATATCTGGAAGTCTTTCTTCGAAGCGAAGACCGGATGGCAGCGGCGGTGCTTCAGGCGTGCAGTGATGTAGCCGTGACGCGCCTCTTCCCCACGCACCGCCAGGCACGCTTCGGTTACGGTCCGAACTGCCCGCTCCACCGCCTGCGTGTGGACCGGGTAGTTCGGCAGCTGCAGCGGAGAGTGCTCGATGGCTTGCAGCTGCTCGTCTGTGAGGTGGCGCAGCAGCGGCGGCTGCGTCACACTCTCCGGCGGGCTCCAGCTGATCACCTCTGTGTAAGCGGAGGCGCTGAAGTTCAGCTCCGGCAGCCGGAATGGCCGAACGTCCTCCGTCTCGCGCTGTCTGGCTGCCTGTATGTGGCGCACGGCCTCCTGTCGGACGCCAGCGTCACCGTCAGCCACCATCGCGAGCAGCACCTGCTCAGGATGCGCCCAGTACCCGTTGCGCTGCAGGACGGGTCGCACCACCTCCTGGATCATCTCCGGCAGCTCTCGGAGAAGCTCCACAGAACGGTGGAAGTTCTTTGCACCGTCTGTGCAGTCGGGGTGTCGCCTGATGCAGAACCACACCGGCACGTAGTGAGTCACCAGAAACTGCACGAGGAGCCGCAGGCTGTCAGACGGTGACTCTGTGCTCACGTACAGGCGCAGCACCCGCGCGCCGAGTGTCAGCCATCTGAAACGGACGCCACAATTTTGATCAGAAGAAAATTCAAGCACGCACACAAATCACAAACCAACGATAAAGTGCCGTACAAACACGGCTAAAATAAACCGTTTTCTGCACTGAACAGCGAACATTCGTTAGCTATAGGTAGAGGCGCTACTCCACTCGTATCACATGTGTTCTGTTGCAGTAACACAGTTTTATCAAAACTTAGGTAATTAATTTGATAATGGTATAGTCATTACTTATGTCTGTAAGACAAGTGAATGAAAGTTGACAACTTTCATGTTTCCAATGGTAACATAAACATGTATTTTGAAACCTGTATTGTTTTAGAGTAACAAAGAACACAAGCGAGGTTTCGATCTAAGTTATTAGGTAATAGGTATCTACTTTGAATGAAACGAACTAATAACTGATTATTATAATATTTGCATGCATAACTTATTCATTAAACAATATTCAAACTTGATAATGACGTAAGTTAAATGCTCGTTTGTCATTCTTTGCATGCTTCTGAAATAAACAATACCTGCATATGATTGTACGTGCGATCAATTGTTAATCTATTTTACTTGCGTAACTATGCATGTGTCACGAAATAACGGACATGCCTCATATTGCGCCCCGAGTACTGACCTGGCGTGGTTGAGTGGCCCGATCCTCTGTCGCGCCACGGAGTCCGACATGTCGCCAGTCTGCACCGCCAGAGCCAGTCGGTACAGCAGCTGCTGGTCGTGACTGAGGGTGGCGACCAGCTCGGCTGTCATCTCCGGCACGTGTCCGGGCACGGGCTGGAACGGCGCCACCTCCCTCCTCCACACGTCCTCGGCGCAGCTGGTGCCGATGGCGCCGTTGAAGGTTCGAGGTCCGCTGGTAGTGCCGTCCAGCGTCTTGAATACGTGCCGCAGGTTCAATTCATTGCCGTGCAGCATGCACACAAACCAGTGCACGGGCTTATTTGTCGCCAGCTCGAAAAGTCGGCACACACCACCGCTGGTCCCGATATTCACCGCCGTACCATCGCATCCCAGTGCTTTCACATGTTCACCGAACGCCACAGCGATGGTGTAGAGCTCGTTCACCATGTGAATGGCGCTCCCAGACTGAGGGGTGAAGTGTGTCAGGTACAGATTCCCCGGCTCAGACAGGACGACGACATGTTCTTGTATGTCTGTCGCCGCCGAACAGTCGGTACATGTTTTGTCCTTGCGCCCGTCAAAGTACAAGCTCTCTACTCCTCCGGACACAGCTGCGTCGATGTTTTGTCGGGCCGATTCATTCCTCATCATGTTTCTCGCGCGCCATATTTTCTTGGCGTCGACGACGTTCGACATGTCGTTTTCATTGATGCGCCCGATATCGACTTGAAACGCGTTTATGATAGCAGCAGCGGCCCGGTTAGAAACGCCGTACCGGTCCGCTGCGAGCGCCGTCTCCCTCAGATCATCTGCGTTCTTGGCACTCGGAAGTGCAGTCGGAGCTGTAAACTCTTCGTCATCCGCAGACGAGTCGCTGCCGGCGTCGCCGCCGCCGCTGTCACTGCTGTCAGTGTCGCCGAGGCGGAGCTGCTCGGCGGGCACAGCGCCGACGGTGCTGCCACTGCCAACGCCGCTCGGCCCAGGAGAAGGCTCCGTAGCGCCACCATGCTGCTGGTTGCGGTGTCGCGATAACTGACGCTGCAGACGCGCCTGCCTCGCCTCACTCGTGGCCCGATCGTATGATCCCAGCGTCAGTCGGCGCTTGTGTCGCTGGTCCTTGAGGAATGGCCACTCCTCACTTGGAACTTTTGCATCTCGCGGACAGCAGCACGCCGCACGGGAGGCACATTTGCACATGGCGATGTCGAATAGCTTCAAGAAGTGGCTATTGTCAGCGTCCGCCCTTTGAGATTTTTTCGTCCTGTTCGCGTTTTTATATGCAGCATACTCCTTTCGCACGAGCTCTTTGACATATTTAATTCCATGGACAGGGATGCCCTCTTGCGACCACATTTCACTGACACTAACAGCGACATGATTGAAAACTGAAGGAGCTGGCGTTTTCCGGGTGGTCGAGAACCCGTTGCTGTCTTGATCGAGAAATTTTACATAGTTAATCACATCACCCTTTGTCGGCAGCACGGTTGTAGGCAATGGACCTGCCTTACCCAGGATGAAATGATGCGTAGTAGCACGTGTTTTAGGCATCAGTTCAATCGACTTTGCTATCATTAGATACCCACCCCAGTAAGCCCTATCTCCCCACCACCGTCCGTCTCGGTATGAATTTGACCCGATGCAGAATTGTTTTGATTCAAAGCAGAATAGCATAAATCAATAACAAAAAAAAAAATATATATCAGCCGGTATCCTCGGGTTCCAAAACGTAATAAATCGTACATGTATATGACAACACATTCAGCATATTTCCATAGTTAGTTAATTTTGCAGATTTGAATATTACAGAATGAAAATAACATTGCTTGCAATAAAAAAACTGATCATAACAAAAACGACGCTCAAATGCCCTTGATATTGCATGCCGACAATCGAAGACTTCGAAACGATCAGTGGCGCCACCTTTAGTTTCGTAGCCATATCTTTAGTTCTTAAGTCGTCCGTGTGTTGTATCACAGATGGCGCTGGGGCATCTGACATCGGTGCAAACTTTCCTCCAGAGGCCAACATCTGCGCAGTTTTGAAACAAATGTTAGTGAAAAATTGTTTTGTGATGAATCAGCGCAACAAATTCCGGACACGGCATTAAGATCAGCGAAAATCACCCCCTCCACGACACACCCTACTATAGGTATCCTATAAGTATCCTATAGGCATCCTATAGGCATCCTATAGGATTCCTATTGATAAGTCATACACAATTTCTATAGGACTGTCCTATAGGACTCAATAGGACGTTTTTGCTAGGGCGATCAACGTCAGACATTGATGTAAAGATCAGACGTTACTTTTCGCACCATCAGCACCATTTAGTTGTGTTCCAAACATACCTTACATCAACATCAAAGCACAACCAGTTAATAATTATAAGTTGTGCCGAAAGAAGTCATGATGTTTGTAAGCGACTGTCCCTGGCTCCGAAACCTAGAAGTATGGAGCATTCAGAACCAGCTTCACCTAAATTCATTTTCTTTGCTTGATTAGCATTGTTCTGCATCGTGAATTTTGTAATGCATTATGCATGGCTTGAAATTATTCAAAAGGTTCTGCACTCCGCCGAATTCAAATTGATAAATTTAAATTTGATTCACCACTGTTCCATCCAATTTTCTTCATGGCTCTATCGCTTTGAAGTTTCGTTGCCAAACCCTTCTTGTGCCACACGTAGGACAAACTTCCGTTCGTTTCAAAGTTAAAATAAAAATAAAATTGCCAGGAAAAATGTTACAACGAAAGGAATGGGTAGAAATAGCCACAAACGCTTGCGCAATTATCGAAACTTCCACGCAATGTTTGTAACACACAGGATTCACCATAACTTGAAGTGGCTTGTAGTTCACTTCATTCCCACAACGGGGCTTTGTGTTGCACATGACGTCACTACCCTAAATAACGTCATCATTTTAAATATAGTTTTTCGCTGTTTTCATCCAAATTCGGCCAATTAATGGCATGTAGCCACCCATTCAGGTATTATCGACTATTTTAAAGTGTTTTGGAATCATCCACTTCACTTTTTCAAGGTGAAAATATTCCTTTAATGTAGGCATGATTTGTTCTGCATTCTCATTACCATAGCGATTAGTGTGTTTGTGATTGATGTGTGTGATGTGCTTAATTTCATCACATTCACCCTATAGATGTGATTGTATAGTGCAATTATAGGTGATTGTCACAAATCATTAAATGTGTATTTGTGCTTTGTAGCCTATGTATTAGAAATTTTTTTGTAACCCTTCGTAGAAGTGCCTATACCTAACTGCTGCTGCTATAGATTTGAATTTCAATGTGTTTGCACCAAAAATAAAAATAAAATAGAGCGAGTTGAAGAAGGCGTAAGCCGAAAGCTCCTCTGAATTATTAGGCCATTTTTACTATTTTCGTTTTTAATTATGAAAGTACGGTTACTTTTTTATTATATTTCTACGGATATTTGATTTGTAATAAAATAGAGCCAGTTGAAGAAGGCGTAAGCCGAAAGCTCCTCTGACCAGGGTTGTATACCAATCAAGTCGATTGAATTGATTGATTTGTTTCAACGCGTATTTTGAGTTGATTGGATTGAGTCGATTGACTTTCGAGATGACTGGTTGACTGACTCGTTTGACTTTAGCGACTAATTGACTGATTTGATTCCCGAAAATTAGAGTGACTCGTATGATTGAGTCGATTGAATGGAAAGTTCAAATAAGTTTTAGTTGACGAAAAATAATGACACCAATTGATGACATCAAAGATCACAAAACTACACTAAAAACTGTTTGTCATCACAACTGCAATATGGGGTAGATGGCCAAATAAAGAACAGGGCCTAAACATGAACAGCCAACTTTGACTTTCAACTGCAATAACTGCTCCAATCCTGGTGATAGAACCTGGCGATGCACCTACCTACCTTTCTGCACTCAGCAGGAAACGATTTTATTTAATCCAGATGATAAAGTGCAAGGCCCTATATACTAATAAAGTGTGATTAATTAATAATTCACATCTTCACATCTCCTCAGAAACAACCCACTGTGACTGAACTCTATAAATATCTGAAACCCCTACAAAAATAACTGAAACAAAAGCGCCGTTTTCGTCTCGCTAATTACGTTTCCTTACCTAACTAATAGCTAATTTGCTGCATTGTTTAATTTGCAGCAGAACGTTTGTTGATCCTTTTCTCCTGAGAGCCTAAGCATAACATATTTAATATATTTCATTTTCCTTAAAATATTTTACCGAATATTATTGAGTGGTTTTATTTCAAATGAAATAATAATTAAAACGAAATTGGTGTTTTCCAACCGATTTATTATATGATGATCTACCATACTACATGATAATCAATGACGTCATCTTACCAAAAAATCAAAAGACGAAGAATAAGGATTTATAAAAGCTTAGCATACTTAGGTATTGGCAAAACGTTTTCTTTGCTTCGCAGTCGCACCGTGCCTAATTTTCCTTGTTCCTACTTCCTTTGTCCTTAACTTATCCTGTGGTTCCAGAGTCCCTGTCCTCTCCATTTCCTTTTAAATATATTTTTAATTCTCACCTCTATCCCCTAGTCCTAACAGTTTCAAATTGTATTGCAATAAAATGTTTTGAATTCTCATTACATGCCACGTCCAGAGTCGTGGACCGCTAAATACCTCAAATCTCTTCCTTCCCAATCTGACAACATCCCACGTCTCAAATGCACATTGTGTGGAAAGATTTTTAAGGCTGCCCGTCAGTCTCTGTCTAACCGAAACCGTCACATGCAGGTAAGATAGTTATTTCTATTTCTCTATGGTTAATATGTTATTGATGCATATTATCCATTAAAATAGACATGGTGTAGGGTAAATGACCAAATCACGAACACTGCCAAAATCCGAGCAGTCATCTTTCAACTGCAATATCTGATATTTAGTGTAAATTGAGTTGGAATATGGCCAAAATTAAATTGACAACTTTTAGGTGAAAGGTGGTGATTTGGGTTAAGGGGCGACTCAACTACTGGGTTATTTTGCACCCATTAAATGAAACTTCTGCTCCAATTCTACCCATTGAACCTCAATATCATGATCCACCTGTCCATCACTAGGTATCCTTCCTTATTACATAGAAACTTTGAATGGCATGGCAATTTATAATTTCAAATTACAATATTTTTTATGTTTCTTCTGTAGGTAGGTAGGTAGGTAGGTACACCAGACTGCTATGGACACTTTTCCAAGTTGGTGGGGCAAAAAAACTAATGTATGTCTTGGTTTGAGTCGTTTGATTGAGTTGATTGATTCCTTTCATTGTCGCGTTTGAGTCGATTGAATCAATTCCCGAAAACTGCTGTGACTTGATTGATTTGATTGGTTTCCCAAATTTCTCGTGATTGAATTGATTGCTATTGATTGAGTCGTATACAACCCTGCCTCTGACTTATTGGCCATTTTTGCTATTTTCGTTTTTAATTATGAAAGTACGGTTACTTTTTTATTATATTTCTACGGATATTTGGGGCGTTCCACGACAAATCGACAAGTGCCCTGCACCCTCATATTTTATTTTTTGCTTAAAATTTGTCTAATGGGTTGTGATGGGCGGGGAAGCCAGCTGTGGCAAGGATTTTTTTCTTCGAGCAACGGTTTCCGAGATATAGCCTCGGGCAATTCCTGGAGGTCGCGCTGCAGCCCTATGTTTGGCGGCCTATAACTCAGAAACTATTGGTTTTCTACGATAAAAGCTTGATATGGTTCAACTCACAATCAACCAACAAACATTTTGGCTATCTCGGATTTTCAATTTTTGAAAATTTTGATCACACGACCTTTTGACCTATTTTTCGAAGAGTGACCTTGATATTTTCCCCACGGAAAGTTGCAATTTTGTCTGAAGACGATTAAAGCCTTATCATTTGTCATTCATATGCGATAATAAAAAAAGTGGTTATCGCCCTGCGTTGACCTCAGGTCAGGTCATTTTTATGACCTGTCCATTATTACGAGCGGGAGCGACAGCGAGATCTCGAGAATAAAGCAAGATAGCGACAAGCGGTAAACGGTACAGGGTACACACGGATAAGGTCCATAATTTTTACTAAGGTCATTTTCAAGCCAGGTCAAATATGACGTCACAGGAGCAAAAAGGAAGTCAAAATAGCGGCACTACATATATATGAAGTTTTTCCCGAATAACTTTCAAGGTATCCCAGCTAGGAACAAACTAATAGCACCATCGTGATCCTCTCGTCGATCCGCATCGAAACATATGTATGTTGACCTCGAAAGGTCGAAAGGTCAAAAGTTGACCTTAGGTCACGTGACCTCGAGGTCAACTTTTGACCTTTCGACCTTTCGAGGTCAGCATGCATATGTTTCGATGCGGATTGACGAGAGGATCACGATGGTGCTATTATTTTGCTCCTAGCTGGGATACCTTGAAAGTAATTCGAGAAAAACTTCATATTTATATGTAGTGCCGCTATTTTCACTTCATTTTTGCTCCTGTGACGTCATCTTTGACCTGACCTGAAAATGACCTCAGTAAAAATTATAGACCTTATCCGTGTGTACCCTGTACCGTTTACCGCTTGGCGCTATCTTGCTTTGTTCTCGAGATCTCGCTGACGCTCCCGCTCGTAATAATGGACACGTCATAAAAATGACCTGACCTGAGGTCAACGCAATGCGATAACCGCTT